GCAGCCCAGATGTGGCCCTGGCAGTGTCCCCCACACCCGTTGTGCTGCCCACCATGGACATCCAGCCTGTGGGCACCCCGTTTGAAGAGCTCCCCTCTGAGCGCCCCACCCCAGGGCCAGCCACCAGCCCCCCATTGGTGACAGAGGTCCCAGAAGAGCCCAGCCAGAGAGCCACCACCATCTCCACTCCTACGGCAACCACTGCTGCCACAACCACAGGGACCCCAGCTGTGGCCACAGTGCCCGCCACAGTGGCCACCGCCGCCCCCAGCATCCCTGCAGCACCTCCTTCCACGGCCACCACCTCCATCGTAAGGACCACCGCCATACGGAGGCTTCTGCCTCTTCCACTGACCACGGCAGCCACAGCCCGGGCCACCACCCCAGCGGTACCCTCACCTCCCACCACAGTGGCTATCTTGGACACAGAGGCCCCAACACCCAGGCTGGTCAACACAGCTACCTCCAGACCAAGGGCCCTTCCCAGGCCAGCTACCACCCAGGAGCCTGACGTCCCTGAGAAGAGCACCCTGCCCCTGGGGACCACTGCCCCTGGACCCACGGAGGTGGCTCAGGTGAGCGGGTGGGGAGAGGACAGGGAATCAGAGCAGAGGAGGGTGGGTCAGGGCCTGGGGGAGGGAGGACGGAGCTGGGCAGGGGTGAGATCTAGGAGGTTCTGGAGATGAGCCAGACAGGGATGGGGAGGGTAAGATAGGCATGAGGCCGGAGGGCCAAGGCTGGGGGTGAGTTACAGGACGAGGAAAGAGATTGAGATGGATGGGGATGGGAGCGGGACCAGGCCTGGGTCTTAAGATGTTAGGACAAGACATCAATGGGGAAGGAGCTGGGTGAATGGGAGTGTTGTTGTGGGGAGGGGCCAGGGGCCTGTGTGTTCTGATTAAAAGCACAGACTCAGGAGCCTTGCAGCCTGGATTGGAATTCTTCCACTGCCGTGTGCCTTCAGGAAGTCACTGATCCTTTTTATACCTTTGTTTCCTTATCTGTGAAAAGGAGAAAATCATAGAATGCAAATCATAGGGTTGTGAGAATTAAGTTTCCCAACATATCCAAAGTGCTTAGAACAGTGCCTGGCAATACTAAGTAAGCTAAAAGTTTCACTTTTGTTATCGTCATCGTTGTTCTTATCCATCTGAGGGGGATTAAGAGTGGGGCTGTATGAGAGGAATACCGCAGCTTACATTCGTGGAGTGCTGCCTGGGTGGCAGGCTCAGTGCTGAACACGTTACCTGTGCCATCTCCTCTCACCCTCACACTCACCACACGGGGTGGCACTGCAGTCATCCTCCCCTTTCCCAGGCTTCACAGGCAGCATTGGCAGAGTCAGGATTTGAACCTGGCAGTCAGCTCCAGAGCTCCTCGTGTGTGTGTGTGTGTGTGTGTGTGTGTGTGTGTGTGTGTGTGTGTGTGTGTGTGTGTGTGTG